AAGTCAGGTTGCTCAAATGTTCAGTGGTTACTGCGTCTGTCGTCGTTGATCGATGGTAACCTGTTTAGCTGTTACTGCCCCTTTCTAACTTCCCCATTATTGATTGTTCTCCTATCCTCTTTCCTACCCCCATTAACCTCCCCACCATAACTCTTCGAAGTGCAGAACGGAACGCCGGACACAAAATTACGTGACCAGCCTGCATAAGTTTGCCTAGAGCAGTACGATTTTATACGGGTTTGTGGTGGATAAATAACCATTTATCAGGCCTTGCGCATGATATTGTGAAACTGCCAACTCTGTTTTCTTTTATAGGCTGAGAATGTGCGTCTTTACTTTCCTCTACGCCATCTGCCCCGCAATTTGTATGATGGAGTATCATCGGATGAATGAGTTCCAGAGGTTTTACGGGGTATGCATAATTGTGTTTCATGTCACACAAACGGATGAAATATACATAACTATCCTATAGATTTGTTTAAATAGACATTGCTGTTTTTTATTTTAAAGCGTCAGAGATTCACATGCAATTTTTAACCTAGGATGTGCAGATGGTACCGGCATGCATATATGTGTTTCAATTTGATATATTGAAGTTGCGCATTACTTTATATGAGGTCGCTTCCAGTTTTTACACCTGACTCCATTTTTAATCAAGTTGGCTTTACTATGATTGTCACTCTGTACATCGGACGACTATTACCTTTTTGAGGTATGTCAGTACTCACTATACAGCAATTACCGTAAGCATCACAGGCCTTGCTCGCTTCACGTTTCATACGTTATATCGCGTCCTTCGCAAGTTTGGCTTAACTATTGCTTCTGTCGTAGCTGCATTTTGCGTACAATGTTCAGACTTTCCATGTCATACAGCTTGACATGAGATTGTTTTGTTATCTCGGAGTCCCTGAAGCCTGTTCAGAATTTGTCTTGCCAGAGGAACGCCATGTCATATATGTACTTTTGATGGAAAGAGTGTTTCAAAATCCTCAGGCATTCGTTAATTTTCCTAGGTTATAGGGTTTTTACGTATACCTTAACAGTAAAAAGGCTGCGGGTAGTTTCATTGACTGAAAATCCTACGATACACGTACAGAACGGCGATAAATTGGCGTTAGGATGCAATTCTTACGGTTTTTCATGCGCAGCATTGTTCCACGGAGAGGTTTTCCAAAATAATGCAACAAGGCGTTTTTTGATGTTTCTTTAAGTCACCTTACATGATTATGGATATACAGACATACATCCATTTTAGAACCTTGACTTTTCCCTTCTTCCTTGAGGAGCCTTTAAAAAATGCACCTATTATCCATTGACATCAGGTCATCGGGCTTGTGCAGTAATCGTGATATGCTGTCAAGGCGGTTTGCTGTCCAGGGGGTTGAGGAGACATTAAGAATGATACGCGAGATCTCCTACGGCATCTCTAGATAAGTATGCTGTGAGACATGTTCCGGCTATTCTGGAACGTTTCATGTGATGTCATTAAGAAATGGATGGATAAGGTGATACTTGGTTCGAGTTTCTACCCCCTTCAAATCAACTTAGTAGCTACACATAAGTCGGTTTACACTGATGTTATGTAAAGGTGGATGTCGTGTTTAACATCACATAATAACTTTGATTGAGTGTCGTACTGTATTTTGCAATGCAATATTACGTATCTCAATTGCAGTTCCTTCGATAACAACAGTTTCCTTGCGTTGCCTTGCTATCAGTCCGGTTTATATATATTTACTATGCTTTCCCAGGAGAATGAAAATCATATTATACGTGGTTCGATATATATTATCCCAAAGTAAATTCCCGAAAAATTTCTTTTAGGTTATTATGGCGGATAATAAAAGATCTTTCTGTCAAGGTGTATCAAAAAACTGCACCAGGTTGATATTTTGTTTAACGAATAAGCCTATCCAATGAACATTTTGTCATCGTAAAAGTTCACAAATGTATTTTTTGAATGTAATCAAATATTATTTTTGAGAAAGAGTGATTTGGCTTCACAAAATGATTTTCACCGACAAGATTTTTAGTGTACATGACATTTGTCGTCACAGAACATTGTTAGCGAGTATGGCCCATCGAAAATGTGATTGCAAGCTAATAGCAAGTTAAAATAGGGTAAAAGATAAAGCCACGCCATACGCAAATCACCTGTCCGCGCCAACCAGAGTAGAACGAAGGCAATATGTCAAAGATCAGCCAGAGATACCAACAGTCACACCAGTGGAACTATTGCCCGTAGCAATTAATTCACGAACCTAAATAAATAGTGATTAATGGGAGTTTAGAAAATACGTAACCAATATATTTAGTATAGAAAGTTGTGGATGTATAAAGTTATAACAAAGTCGTGAATGCACAAAAATATTGAAAATAGCTACCACGTATATTTTACTTTCTGACGTTAATACCGCGGGTCAAGTATGCCCCATTGTGTACATTAAATACAAATAATAATAAGCCCTTTTTGCTATTGCCGACTATTTACTATACGGTTAAGTGATTCTCTACACAGAAAATAAACAGCCTGTACTTTTAAAAACCCGAGCAGAGGCGAAATCGCGGTAGAGTTTATATGTGCGTGTGAATTGAAAAAAATAATACGAAAACAATTCAATGACGTAGATGTTTAAAATTAAAAATGTTATTGGTAAGTATACGTATATTAAATAACATCTTGAAGTATAAGTTTAAAATGCAAACATATTAAGTAGACATTTTTACGGTGGGTTGTTTCCGAAAGCGACCAGAAAGAAGCTTCTTCAGAACCCAAAACCCTGACATGCGGACATGTATTGGAAAGGGCTACACGAGAACTAAAATTACGACTCGCTGTAAGTAATTATTCAGAATCAGAAATATCTATGCAAACGTTGATAAATATTTCGCTAGGGATTCGTTGTGGGGCCGCCTGGGGAGCGTGTGAAGCGTGCCCCTCAGGCTCACGGGCGCCAGATTTTAGGGGAGTGGACGGGCGGGGCAGGTCAGGGAAAAAATCAGATCGCAATATTCCTGTAAAATAAAAAAAGTTACGAGGACACGTTGGGTTGCGTACTCAAACCTCGGGCGGGGACACTGAAATAGACTTAAATATCATCGCCAACGGCTAATGCGTGTATGTCGAGGGAGTGTGCCCTAAGCACGGGCGGGGTCATTGATGTGCCTTTTCCAGCAGAATCACTAACCGCAAATAGAATAGAGGACGAACGAGTAAAGAAGGTTTAAGATTGTGGAATTCAATTTACTTAAAATTTTTAAGTATGCGATTACTTCGGTTTTTAATTTGAAACGCCATTTTGCTTAATATATTGACTTAAGCGGTTATGGTATGCGGTGACGCTTGGATAACCTCTCTGCAGTAAACTGTTATCACCCAATCCCTACAAGGTCGACGTTCGGCATCTAGAAAACGGGAAGATTGAGGGTAATTCAATCTTTTTAAAATTTGTAAGTAGGTGATTAGGATACACAAAACCGTTTCGAAGGCCCCATACGGAAACCCTACAAAGATTTTATCATTTTGTATAACAAGAGGAAGTGATCATTTCAGAATCTATCCAGCACGAATATACACATATATTTTCTAAACCGACCATCCGATCCTAAATAATTTTACGGCAGGATGAATAAACGTTTTGGATTTTTTTACCTGTCAGGTCAATGACACAACACGGCAAGGAAATAAATTCTAAACCTCAACAACTTGC